TGGCCATCTCTGAAACTTGTCTCCTGCTCCTGCTAAAGCCAAGGTCACGCCTGCCTCCACCTTGCCCAGCCCAGGCCTCGGTGGGAAAGTCTGCCGGGCCCCCGCTGCCCTCGCCCGGGGGGACCCCGTGGCACCTTCCTTGCTGTAGACCTTCTGGTCACTGCAGTCCTCCATGGGCAGCAAGGGTGTGTCTCGGTCACAGTTCACCAGCAGGATGGCGCCCTGGCCGTCGGGGCCCCAGCTCCAGGAGGCCTGTGTGACAGGACAGAGGTCAGCACCTTCTTCTCCAGCTTCAGGCAGATTTCCCCAGCCCCAGGGCAGACCCTGCAGGACCCCGAGGGACACAGCCCCAGGATGAGGGTAAAGAGCAGTGGCCGCCCACTGGGGCAGCTTGACCTGACGAACAGCGTCATGGTGAGCCCCCGAGGCAGGCCAGAAGGGGCTCTGGCACAGGGGCTCGGGCATGCTGGCCAAGGCGTCTTGAGCCTCCAGCCTGGCGGCCTGTGCTGGGCGGGGATGGTGCTGGGGGCAGCCTGCCCGGGGGCCGGGTACCTTCCGGGGGTTGTTCTTCTCCACCACGCCATCTCGGTCTGCATCCACATCCAGGGAGATCTCTGGGGACAGACACACAGCTAGTGGCTGAGCCTGCGGGGCCGGGGGGGGGGGGCAGGACAGGCGGGGGTCTGGGGGAAGGGGTGAGCCCCCCCCGACCCGAGGAGGGCATGGCTCTCTCTGTGGCCAACCCCGCCGCCACAGCCCTGCCAACAGTGGCTCCCAGGGCCCCGTGCGGACTCCCAGCGCAGGCCCGGGCGGGGTGGGGGGATGACAGAAGGTCGGGGCTCCCCCCGCTGCAGCGTTTCTCTGCCCATTCTGGTCACTGGGTGGGATGTGCAGGCCTGGGGTCCTGGGTTCGGAGAGGCCCAGTCACACAGGTGGCAGCTCTGTGATTTGAAGCTCCTGTTTTATTATTATGTCTAAGATTTAATTTTATTTATGTATGCATATGAGAGCTGGGATCTAAGCCAGAGGTGTACGTGTTGGAGCAGTGAGAGGAGTCCCCAGAGACAGGGTGGGGAGCAGAACAGGTGGATCCATTGAAACCCACTGCTGAGGGGAGCAGCGGGGAGACAGGAGAGGTCTGCTGCGCCCTGGGGGTCCCTCCCTGGCTGGGGATTGAACTCGGGCACAGTGGCGAGAGAGCGCTGCTCTCTCTCTCACCCCTGCTTTAACCAGGGAGACGCCACGTCCCCTCCTGTGGCGCCTAAGTGAGAAATCCTTAGAGCTTGGCACGGTCAAGGTACCGGGCACACGGGAGGAATACGCGGCCCTCCAGGAATAGAAGTATGGCTGATTCGCCAATGGTCACTGTAACTTTTGATTTGTTTCCTGATTCTGCTGACACACAAGGTACTGAACCAAAGAAATGTTATGAACATTGTGCTTCGTTCTAATGATACTCTTGAAAGGAATGTAACTTCCTCTGTTCTCGATACTGATTTAATTCTGATAAACTCTGCTACAATCTTTAATTCTATTAAATATTAACTCCTGTACACCAGGTGGCTTGTGAAAAGAATGGAGAGAATGATTAAAAGGATTAGCAAGTCAAAAATGATAGATAGGGCATTTGTTTAGCACCACTGAACCTTGAATACACAATGGTTTCTCAGGGTCCTAGGTTGGTTTTGGGCCCCTGAACGACATCTCAGAAATAATACAAAAATGTATTATCTGCCACGCTTCTATTGAAAGAATCATTGTACCCCTACATTTGCTTGCCAAGAAAAACTGTATAAATGCTCTGCACTCTTAAAACTAAATGACATTCAGATATGCGCTCCTAGAAGTCGTGTCTGTCTGTCACTCAGCCTCATCCTTGCCCACTGGGCGCCAGAATGGCCATCTCTGAAACTTGTCTCCTGCTCCTGCTGCGCTGGTCCGCGGCAGGAGACGCTGCAGCTCATATTTTAAAAAGTGTCTGGCGTCTCCCGCTCCGCCCTGGGCATGTGCTCACACGTGTTTGTGGGTGTCTCACTCCCTGTACTCCCAGTGCCTATAGCCCCCCTCCAAGACTTGAGGGAGTCACTTTGGGTGGGAAACTGAGTCTCCACCTGGGGTGGACCGTTTCTCTTTCCTCTTGGAGAGGGGCCCTTCATAGGGGACGGTGGGAGCAGTGACACGAGCCCAAGATTTAGCATCAGGCTGTTCCGGGTTCGAGCGCGGGTTCCTGCTCACCAGCCATGAGGCTTTGGCGGGTTCAGACAGTGTCTCTGCGCCAGTTTCTTTAGTGGCAACAGGAGCCCTGTAGCATTAGGTGACTTGCGCCAATTGCAACTGTAGGCACAGGGGACGCTTTGACTGGGGTGAGTCTTTGTTGTGGGGGGCTGCCTGTGCACCGTAGGGTACTGAGTGGCTTCTCCAGCTTCTGTCCCCTACGTGCCAGCACAAAGCCAGCTGTGTCAACCAAGATGACTCCGGATATTGCCAAATGTACTTGGGGGGCAAAGGTGCCCCCGAGTGGGGGCTGGGAGCAGATGGGAAGGGGCCTGCAGAGCCGCACAGGGCCCAGCCCCCAGCTGCCCAAGTGCGTGGCCTGGATGGAGCTGGGGTTGGGGGTGAAGGTGCTCGGGGGCAGTCCCGTGGCAGGCAGGCCTCTCCCTGGGCTGGGGGGGGAGGAGGGTCCTGGCGCAGGGGGGCCTGGTGTCACCCTGCCCGGGACGGCTCTCCCTGAGCCTGGGGGTGGCTTTCAAGTCCACCCTCAGTCTGAAGCCAGGCTTTTCTGGGCCTAGGGGGAAGCTTTCAGGCAAGGGGGTGCCCCAGAGTCCCTTCTCGGCCACCCTACTGGGGCGTAGGTGCTGTTCCTTACACTGCTCCCCTCGATCCCACGCCACAGACACTGCAGAGCACCTGCTGGGTCCTGGGCCCTGCGTGCGAGGCCGAGTCCTGGTGGGCAGTCAGGGCCCAGGGTCCACTCAGGGCCTCAGTCTGTGTGACAAATGCTGTTTCTACCTTCCAGCGAGAAGCCCAGGCGCAGGGACGTCACCTGGGGCGATGATCTGAGGCTGCGGCAGGGAATGGATTGGGGGGTGGTGGTGAGCAGGGAATGTGCTGCTTTCACCGGCTGCTCCGAAGCCTCCTGCTGCTGGTGAAGAGCCGAGGGCTCCAGTGGACGAGCAGTATTGATTCTGGCTCCCAGACCTCCTTGAACTCTCCAGCTGCACGTGCCCCACAGCACGCGGCCTTTCAGGGAGCTGGCCGCCTGAAGGTCCACGTGGGGGCCTCTCTCCCCCCCCCCCCCCGCTTTTCAAGATGATAGTCACCCCGTGCAGACACTCGGCTGTGACACTCGGACACTTGTGACACCAGGAGAGAGGACCTGTCATCCACCCAGCCACCCCACCTGGCAGGGCAGGAAACAGGTGTGCAGGGGGACAGAGCCGGGCCTCCCACTCGGGTCTCTCACTCCAGAGCCTCGTTCCCTCTGCTGCCCCTGCCTGGTGCGCAGGCTGGGCGGTTTCCACAAGTCAAGGCTGTCTGCAAAGACTCAGGCCTGCCCCCTGAAAGCCATGCTCAGGGGAGCCCCTTCTGGCCTCTGCAGCCCAGTGATTTCTGTCTGTCCTGGAGGCTGCTGGTGCCAAGCTCAGGCCCCAGGAGGGAAATGATGCCAGACTCTCTAGTGCTTTAGGCCATTCTGAATGTCTTAAACCTGTCAAGGCAAGATTTGTGTCCAAAGAGAAATTAAATAGCAGCAAACGGCTCCTCAAGAAAAAAACACAGATATCTGTCCAGCCGCCGGCTCATCTGCCCAACTTCCTCTGTGCCTGAGAGAGGCTGAAGAAACGCTCTCTCTTCCTTCTGAAGCAATCACTTATGAGCACTGTCATATGCTGTTTGCTATTTCTTGATTTATTCAATTCCAACAAGTTGCACTGATTTACTGCTAGGAAATTCGGGCTGTACAAAATTGAGCACTGTTCTCACCCACCTCCCCGCCACCCACACGATTCGTCCCTCCTCACCCCGTCTGGTCTCCTCAGTCAACTGAACTGGCTGCCTCATCCCTCCGCACTCCCTCGGAAAACCCCTCCAGCTATAAGCCATTCTTGCGGGGTTTTTCCTAATGCCCCCAAATCTTCCCCACAATGTCCAATTTAACCCAGCTCCAACGGGCAGCTCCTTGGAAGGACAGGGAACGGGCAGACCTGCCCAGAGTGCTGCCCTCCCGGCCCTCCCCTGCCTTGGGGAGAAGGTGACGTCTGCCTCAGGGTCTTTAGCTTCCAGAGGCTCTGAGCCCTCCCTCAGCTTCCTGGAGCAGCCCCAAGGTGTCAGGTGGCACCCGGAGTGTAGGGGGATTATGGGAAGTGTCACCAGGTTGGGTTCAAGCAGTGCACCCTGAGAAGCCAGACACGGAGACTCAGCTTCTGCACAGAGACCAAGTGTTTTGGCAGGCCGCTGGCCCCCGGGGGCCGTGGCAGGGTGCCTGGCCTTCTTGCCTTACTGGATAGTGGGGGGTGTGGTGGGAGGAAGATGCTTTCCCACAAGGCCAAGTAAGGTGGTCACTCTAGGCTCTGGGGAGGGGCCCTTCGGAGGAGGCCTTTAGGTTGAGGCTGGAAATCTCAAAGCTCTTGCCCAGAGATGGTTCCCCTCCCACCTTCCTCCTTTACAGGAAGGACTTTGCAAGTGTCCTGAAGGTCCTCAGAGGTGTGAGCAAAAAAGCTCAACAGGCTTCTCCTGACCCGCCCGCTGCTCCCTCAGCTGTGTCGTCCATCTGCCTGTTCTGCTCCCCGCTCTGTCTCTGGGGGATCCTCTCACCGCCCCCGCACCTCTGGCCTGTACCCCAGCTCTGAATGCATAAACAAGTAAATCTTAAAAAAACAAAACAAAACAAACCCCTGTGTTACCGCTGGGAAAGTGAGGTACAGAAGCTCTGGGTTAATTCGAGGTCCTATAGCACAGCCTCGGGGAGCTGAGACCAAGCCCCAGAGCCGGATTTGGCCAAAGGCCTCATGAGCTTGTTCTCAGGTCCCAGAAGGAAGATTCTCCAGCCTCACCCAGTGAGATGTGGCTGCCCTATGAGGAGGGAGAGAGGCGAAGAGCGTCTGGCTGGCTCTTGTCACCAGAGCTGCGCTGAATGATTACTTAGGACAGGAAGTTCCTGGACTCCTGGGGCAGATGTCCGTGGGAAACAAGAACAGAAAGTTTCTGGCAGAGCAGTGGGTCCCAAGGGAAATGAAGTTTCCCCAGGGGTCCTGGTAGGACAGGAAACAGCCCACCAGGGGTGAGTTTTTCACACTTTATGACTGCGATGTAAATGCCTGTCTTGGAGTTTTAAGTCTTCCAATGGTGGTGATAACTGGTGGGCAAATTGCTTTATTAATTTTTTTTTTCTTTTTTGGCGGGCAGTTTTTGAGGGGGTAGGCATTTTTTGGGGGGCGATGGACATTTTCCTGGTCTATGGAACCTAAACATCTAGAACTTGTGGCAACTAAATAATTGTTCAATGGGTCCAGTCAATCTTGCTTCCTTTTTAAAAACATTTATCTTTCATATTTATTTATTTATTTTAATTTAATATTTGGACAACGTATGATGTCTCCCCTCAGTCCTGTCTTTGCCATCTAGCCCATGTCTGTCTCGCTTGATGGTGGACGTCTCCTTAGCAGTGCTTTCAGCCGTCTGGGGTCACCCCATTTGCTAGGCCTCAGGCCACAGCCCTGCACGCTGATGTGCTCAGGTGTCTGGTCTCTGTGGGATTGGATTTCCTCGGGGTGGCCAGCTGGGGTTTTGTGCACCTGTGAGCTTCACACACGGGCCAGCCCTCAGCTGCTGCTCCATCACCATCTCCCAGCCCCCCGAAATGGTCCTGGGGACCCTGCCAAGATCGGGCACCCCCTTGGTGCAGAAAGAGGGGCATGTGACCCTCTGCTGGGCCTGCTGGGCAGCAGAGCCCGGGTGGGCAGCTCTTGAAACCCAGGCTGCAGGAGGCTTGGGGACAGTTGCTTTGGGGGCAGCCCTGAGACCCCTGGAGCTGTCAGTCATGGGAATGACTCAGCATGCAAATGCGGTGAGGTCTGTGGTCCCAGCTCGGCTTAGTTGTTTGCCTTGATGAGCCCTGATTTTCTGCATCTGAAAAGGGGCCAATCCTAGCGTCTATCCTGGGATGTAAGAATCGACTGAGATCAGAGTGGAGTGTGCAGCCTGCCACATGGGGTGCTCAGCAGTGCGGTGCCCCTGCCTGTCTTCCCCTTGGCATAGACCCCCAGAGCGCAGCACCCCCCCACCCCCTGTCCACGTGCCCCTGCACAGCCCCAGTCCTGGACACAGAGGAGGAGTTTACTAGATGGAAGTCTCCATTCTTACTTCTCAAGCAGCCCACAGCTGCCTCTCCATGAGTGGTAATGCCAAGCAGCCGCTCTGCTAACGTTCAGCTAAGGCCGGACAGCCCCACCCTCGAAATGTCCTTCCCGCTACGCATTATGTGATATGTATATATATACCACACATATATACATCATTATATATTTATCATAAATAAATAAACAACCTCGCTAGCTGGGCTGGACTCCGCCTCGCCAGGCACCCTGGGCACGCTGCCGTGGTTCTGAAGAACCTGGGAGGGCACCACTCCTGAGCTCTGGACTCACTCTGCTGCTCAGCTGCTGTGTGACGTTGAAGGAGTTCCCTGACCTCTCTGGGCATTACTCCCCCATGTGTCAAATGAAGGGTTTGGGCTTGAGGAGTCAAGGACCAGACTGCAGCTCTGTACCCCTGGGGCTGGGGCTGGGAGGGCTACTTTGTTCTCCTCTCTCTGGTCCACTGCGGGACACCCCCACTCAGGACAGAAGGACCCCGCAAGTGTGGCCTCACTCCTCCGACCTTCATTATTTAGAAGCCCTGAGTGCCAGGTTTGCAGCACTGAGAACTCCCTGTGTCCCCGAGAGGGCAGCGATGCCAGCTCCCACGGACAGTGGCACTCAGGTTACAGCCGCAGCGACTCACCGATGGCCGTGAGGAAGAGCCCAGCCTGGTCAATGGGGGTGCTCCCTTCCTTCTCGTAGTAGCTGACCGTGACCTTGGTGGGGAGCAGGTGCAGTGGGGGGAGAGAAGAGCGGAGGCCACAGGTCACAGGCAGGAAAACTTGCAGCAACCACCCTCTCCACCTCTCACCGCATGGCCTGTCAGTCGGCTCCCTCCAGGTGCCGAGCACTCGAGTGCGTCCGGGAGGCTCCTGGGTGGGTGGCTTGCTTCTCCCAGATTACCAAATGAAACAGGTGCCTCTCAGAGGCCACCGGGGGTGGCCGCCCCCTCCCCCGTGCCCCTTCCTGTGTTCTGCTCTCTACATCTGCCACGGTGGACTGGATACCCAGGGCACAGGGCGAGGCGGTTTTCCTTGCCTCGTGCCCAGCACCAACATGCCGTGGGGCGCATTCTCAGGGAACCCCGTGAGGAGCAGGTCTTATCTTGCCACGTGGGTGTCCAGCACCCCATTTCCCCATGATGTGACTGACCAAGGGTAAGTGTGGCTGTGACTTCCAGTGATTCTGATATTGTGTCATTCAGCCGGCCACAATGTTTTTTTAAAATTATTTTTACATCATTCTTCATGTTGGGCCTTTTTCCGTCTTGGTTGTCATCCCCAGGACTTCCCACCGCCATTTTCACCCATGTGCCATCACCACAGTCCCGTGCACCTTCCCTCACTCCCTTCCCCCCCATTTTTGATCCCATTGCCCACTCCACCCCTGTAAAATGTCTCTGGTATATAGTTGCTTGTATTTTTCATTTTATCTTTATTACAATTCGGCCACAGTTTTAACCCGGTGTGAAGTCACCTGTCCAGTCTAACCCTGAACGAAGCGAGCCCGGAGCCACGAGCCCCGCTCAGTATGAGGCTGAGCATGACCTGTGCCGTGAACATTTCTCCATATTGACATCCTGCCCTAGTGGCAGTATTTGGATTGAGTCAAGTGCACCGGCTTCTGTTAGGGGAAATGATGTCCTCAGGAGCTCTGCCGAGCTCTGTGGACTCCATCCCCTACTCCAGGTATTGAAACTACAACTCCCAGCAATAACAAGGAGAGAACTGTGAGGGCCCAAGGGTGGAGCTAAGCAGGCATTCTGGGACTTTTGGGGAAATAGAGGAAGCCATTTTAGACAGCTCTCTCTGGACCACGTGGCTCTCTGGACGCAGGGGCTGTGTGGACCACGTGGCTGGTGACTATCAGTATTACTGGAGTTCCAAGTCAGCGGAACTGGTCGATGCTCTAGTTAACTTGTCTCTCTCTCTCTCCCTGGGTTGTTCCTTTTCCTTTCCCCGTTTGTAAATAAACCCATTACTGACCCTTTCTGTGTGTGCCAGCTGAATTTTAAGTGCTCAGCTGAGGACCCACAGCCAGGCACCCCAGTTCACACTGGGGTGCCGTAACACTTCTTTTCCCCCTTCTGACGTGACCACTAGCAAATGAAGATGCTGTGTGTGGCCGAGTCCCCGTCCCCAGCACGGGGTCCCAGCGCCACCGTGGCTCCCGCGGGCTGGTACCTTGTCGCTGCTGGCCTCGGCGCTCGCCTGCGTCATGCTGAGCCGCAGCGTGGTGCTGGGCGACAGGGGCCAGCGCTGCTTGCCGTTGGTGGCCACCTCCTCGGCCTGCCCGTCACGAACCACCTCCACCTGCACATGCTCCGTGCGCTTCAGGCTGAAGGTCTGTGCCCCGGCAGGAGCCGCGCTGTGGGGGAGAGAGCCAGTTAGGGGGCTCCCTGGGACAGGCAGGTCAGGGCTTTTGGGGGGAGCCCTGGAGGGGCAGGGCTATTGGGCCACAGGTCATCCTGTCTGGAGAACCCTAAAGGACCCAGCTGCACTGCACCTATCGGGTCCTTCCAGGGCTGCTGGTTGCAAATACAGACAGTGGCTCCTGGAGTCTCAGCGTCAGTCCAGTTGGCCTGGGAGTGGGGGTGTCCAGGAAGTTTTAGGAGCTACTGTGGGTGCAGGGGTACAGGGCATTTGAGCCACGGGTCTGTATGTGCTGCTGGGTAGTTAGAGCCCGGGGGTCGAGGCCGTGAGTGGGAGTCTAGGGAGACCACCAGCAGGGGGCTCTGGTCTCGGGCACTGGCTGGACAGAGTGGGCGAGGCTCTGGGAGTGGAGCTCAGCAAAGCAGCTCCGGGCTATTCTATCTCTTGCCCACAGCCTCCTTCTAAACTACTCAGCCACCGTATGTATATCACTTGCTGGCCGCGGCCTGCTGCCCTGTCCACAGCCATCAATAGGAGAGGCCCAGGGTCTCTTCACAAACGCTGGCTACATGAGCCCAAGGTCTGGGTTCCAGCCCAGAGTTGCCAGCAACTTGCTGAAGGGGTCTTGAGTGTGTCCCTTGCATGTCCGAGGGTCCCTCTGCTGTCCCCTAAGACACAGGAAGACCCCGCAGGCCTGTCGCTCGTCCCGACACAGGATGACCCCACAGGCCTGCGGAGCTTCCTCTAGCCTCCTGAAGCTGTCACTGGCTTGCAAACCCCAGGGCAGGGTTTGGGGGCTTCTAGCCCAGCTCCGCTGTTCCTTCCGAGCCAGCCTGGCACCATGGAGGGACATCCCAGACAGAGGGTGGAGCTGAGCGACAGAGTGTGGCCCTGTAAACACGGCATCCCTCATGGGCGGGGCGCATGCGCGGACAGGCCGGATGAGGGGGTGCAGGGAAGACTGGGTGTTTAGTAAGTGGCTCATCTGTGCACGGCGAGGATTAAGGGTTCTCGGTCCCGAGACGGGAGTTCTGTTTAAAGTTAGAAGAACAATGTGTGTTGATTTGAGAAAAAAGTTGAGTTTTAATGGTAAGATTTTTGAAATTTAAAAATTTTTTAAATTTAAAAACTTAAAAAGGAATGTGGTTTTGGGAAAGGTCACGAGTCTGGGAAATCGTGGGCTGGGGCCTGGGACCCATTCTCCAGGTGAGTCGGCTTTGCCTGGCGCCCCCGGGGTGGCCCTGGGAAGTGCTTCCCTCGGCTTCAAGTGTGTAGTGAGAGAAGAGGATGGGGCAGGTCACAGGGGGCTGGAGTGGGGGGTGGGGAGCTCAGAGGAACACTCTGGGCCAGTGGTGGGCGGGGGTGGTAGGTACTTGATCTGGTTTTACATACTGAGTTTCTGCGTGCAGTGTTTTTGTGTGTGCATACCATTCTATTTAGGAAAAAAGTGCTTTACCAGTGCACAGGGCTGGGTGATCTTTGAGGACGCCAGCTCTTCCAAAAGGGGCTGTAAGAGATGCTTCCTGCCACAGTCATTCCTCTGGACCAGTGAGAAACTGGAGGAGGCGTCAGAGGCTCAGAGGGTTCACCCCCAGCCCACACTGGTGCTCTGGGCCCCACAGCCTCCTGCCACCCCGCACGAGGCCTGCTCTGAGCTGAGCAAACAGCTATTCTTGGGTCCAGGCTGGCAGAAGCAACAAAGGCTCCATTGTCTCCCATGGGTGCTTCTGGCAGCTCCCTCCCCAGGAAGAAGAAACCTGAAACTGGAGAGCCCGGGTTGTGGGCACCCACTGTCCTGGGATACTGCAGGGAAGGGCCCAGAAAGGTATCCAGGGAAAGAATGCAGTGCTGGTAGTGGCCGTGATCTCTGGGAAAGAGGGCCAAGATCGTGTGTGAGAACTGCATTATGGTACTCTGTCCCTGAACGGGCTGGAAGAAAGTGTCCAGTCCCTGCACAAGCTAGCATCCATCCCGGGGCCCTGACTCTCCAGTCCTGAGCTGGCCAGGGGCAGCTCAGGAAGACCAAAGCGACAGGCTGACATATGGCCCGCAGCCTCTGAGTCAGAACAGCAGGAGTGTTTCAATGCTTCAAAGTCTGTGGCTGAAAACCAGAAATTGCCAACACCGAGCGTAGCGTACTGTTTGATTGCTGCGCTCCTGGACATAAGAAGCTGACGGCTCCCTTCTTTCCTCAAACTTGGGGCTGGCAGAGCGGTTCCCTGAGAGTGAGACTCGTGGAGTCCTCACTTTATCCAGTGTTAGAAATACAGTTTCAGGCTCATCATTTCAGTTCACCGAGGGATGGTAGGGCAGGCTGCGGGGCCCAGGGGACGTCCGCCCCGCCCACCCTGGCGTCCCAGGCCTCGGCCATTCCTCCATCGGGAATAAAGAAAGGGACACAGAATTCGCCCGTTTTGGTTTTCTAAACTGTATAATCAGAGTGATTTTTTTTTAAAGATTTATTTATTTGTGCATACAGAACTGGGGTACAGGCCAGAGGTCAGGGGCGGCGAGAGGCTTCACCAGAGACAGAGTGGGGAGCAGAACAGGCAGATCCACGAAGTACACTGCTGAGGGGAGCAGCGGGCGGGTCAGGAGAGGTCTGCCGCGCCATGTGGATCTCCTCTGGGGCAGGTGGGGATCGAACTCTTGGCGAAAGTGGCTTAAGCTTCTTAGTGCAGTGCTTTAACCCGCTGCACCACCAGGGAGGGCCCAGAGTGATTTTTTTAGAAAAGACAGATTTTTAAAAAAAGAAATCAGGTCGCTTGCCTGCTTGAAAATATGCGGCCGGGGCTCTCCCTGGTGGCACAACGGGTTAAAGCACAGCATCATGAAGCCCCTGCAGCACGAGTTCGATACCTGGGAGCTGACCCACACGGCGCAGCAGACCTCTCCTGACCCGCCCGCTGCTCCTCTCAGCAGTGTACTTTGTCAGTCTGCCGGTTCTGCTCCCCTTCCTGTCTCTGGTGAATCCTCTCACCCACCACACCTCTAGCCTGTACCCCAGTTCTGTATGCATAGATAAATAAATCTTAAAAAAAAAAAAAAGAAAAGAAAATGCACAGACGACTGATACAGGTTTCATACAATAAACCTGCACTCGAGGGAGGCCAGTGGCTACCAGGGCTCCCCCACCTCTCAGCTGACCCCTCCCTCTCCCTGCAGCTCCCCCATCCCCCGGGTCAGCTGCTCGCCTGTCCACCTCGCTTACACTGGCACAGGCTGCTCCTTCTGCCGGGGGCACTTCCCCGACTTCCCTGCCTGGTGGCTGCCCACGCCCCTGGGAGACCCAGCTGCTCAGTGTCTCCGGGTTTGTTTCACCTTGTGAACTCCCTGAAGGTAGGGGCTGTGTTTTCTTTTTGTTTCAGTACCTGATCTCGTCTAGGGATACAGTATGTGTTTGCTTCAGGAGGGGCTGGAAGAGCAGGGAATGCTTATGTGGCCATTGATACAACATGTATTGACTGAGCACTGACTGAGTGCCAGGCGTAGCTGTAGATGTTGGAAGAAGACTAGAAAAGACGACAGCATGTTCTCTCGGTCCATGGAGCCCACGCTCCAGTGTCAGGAAAAGATTCTCAAGGCTCACTCGGTTGATTGCATGATCAGAGCTATAAAGAAAAGTCTGAGGGACCATGAGGCCCTGGCCTGCAGTCAAGGAGGCTTCCTGGAGGAAGTGGCATCTGGCAGATGATTAGACCAGTGGTTCTTAGTTTGGAGTGTACCTCAGCATTACCTGGGTGACAATACAGGTTGATGACCCAGCCCCAGTTTGACTCAGCTGGTCGGATCGGGGGGCCTAAGAAACTGCTTTCCTCCCCTGCCCCAACTCAACTGAAGAAAAACTGACCAAGAAAATTGCATACATTTATAGTGTATCACATGGCGATCTGCTGTATACATATTGTGGAATGAGAAACTATTTCTAAGCAGCTCCCAGGTGGGGTTAACACGCTGGTTCAGGGACCAGTGTAGACCCGCAGACTTGGTCAAAAGGAGGTGCAGAAGAGCAGAGGTTTCCAGGCAGCAAGGACAGCTTGGGTGACGGCCTGAGGCCAGCATTAGCCCAGCAGGTTCGAGAAAACCAGA